TACCTTCTCAGCTTCGCATCGAAGCTAAAATAATATTTTATAATTATTAAATAATTATTTAAAATATAAACTTGTTATTGCTTTCATAAATTAATGTATATATTATATGGAAAATTTCCTAATTTTTAAGCATAATACTGTTATTTTTTGTGACCTGATTTAATAGGTACGTATAGAAATATCATTTATAAGTGGCGAACATGGCGATTTTATGCCTTTTGATGGACCACAGGGTGTTCTTTCTCATAATCTATCTCCAGGCCGCGGGACAGTTCACTTTGATGATTCTGAAAATTGGACTATTGGAACTAATAGAGGCAAATAATATTCGTATTTATTTAAATAATAGTTTAGCTTTATTATATTCTAACGAATAGTGTTTGATTGCTCAGCGAGTACTAAAAGATCATCAAAATAATAAATGAAATAGTCTAAATTAATGAATTATATAATACATATTCTCTTCTTTTTCTTCTTCCTCGCCTTAATCCCAACTACTTGGGGTCGGCCACACTTATCCTAAATTTCCACTNAACTACTTGGGGTCGGCCACACTTATCCTAAATTTCCACTTGACACGATTATATAATACATATTCTCTTTTAGCAAAAAATCAGCGCTGAGAAGAAATTTGTTTCCAAAAGAACAAATTTCTAAAACGAGATTTTGTTTGGTAGAAGCGAATATAGGAACTGTTTTCTTTAAAAGTCAAAGAAAGAGGAACATGAACGAATTCATTTTTATGAGAAACATGTCAAAATTTGTAATTCTTTAAATTTTAGTTTTTCTAAAATTTATTTTTCTAGGTGTTATAAATAAAAATTGTACTTTTACGTTGACTCTTATAATATTTGACCAATTACCTTCACATATTTTACAAACATTACATTCGACTTGTGAGTTAAAACTATTCGTTATGTAAATTTAAAAGTGTGACTACTCTGGATGATTTCATATGGATTAATCCTTAACTAAGTCCAGTTTTAAGTCATTGTACAGAGTGTTGTCTGATACGTACTAAAGGGTGGACGTTATAATTCAAAGTGCAATAGGAATACCTGAATGTTGGAATACCTAAATAGATAATCTTTGAGAAAGTTTAGCACAACTCCAAATTTAAACTCAATAAGCCCAAACTGGTCAATCAATATCTTATAATTTTAATATAATAATTTGATATGAATAGAATTTTCAATGATATTAAATAAATAATTGTTACCAGGAAAGTTAAAATATCAAATAATAATAGTAAGTTTCCAAATATTTTTTAATAAAAAAAGAATGAAAAGGGGAACTTACTTTGTTACAAATTTAGAATCAACTTTGTGTTTTCAAATGTGAACATATATTTTGATTTTAATAAAATGTTTAAGATTATATTTTAATCGTAAAGGGCGTTTGAATTTTTAACATAACTTTATTCGTATACAGATGGCTAACTATTTTTATNTTTGGCCGGCTAAATCAGCGTTTGGTCCCACTGTGTGGCGTCGCTATTCACAGATACACAGCATTTATTATTAAATTTACAATCCACAGATATGTTTTCGGTATTTCCAGTTGATGTATTCATAAATCTTAACTCACAACAATGTGCCTCATAATAGCTATGGCAACTTGTTATTAATCTTAATAACTGTTGCAAACTGATATTGTTACTTTCAAAATAACAGTTACTGATATTTTCTCAAAAAAATGTTATCTTTGTATAGAACTTTTAAAAACAGTGGTATAACTGTTTTATATTTTAAAACACTGTTAATAAAATAAAAATAAATATTTAGTCTATAAATGACTAACATAAAATATTTATAAACAATTAAAATTTAAACATTTAAGGTTTATTATAATTAATGATCATTTGGAAATTGAACAAAATTTTAACGAAATGGTAGAAAAATGATATATGATAAAGCGATATTTGATTTTTTTTTTTTTTTGATAAATGTGAAATGGTGCTTATTTTACGATTTCTATATCCGCTAGTGTTTGATAATCGGTATAAATAAATGTATATATATACATTATCGTTTATTTGTATTATTTCTTGNTTTTTTTTTTTTTTTTGATAAATGTGAAATGGTGCTTATTTTACGATTTCTATATCCGCTAGTGTTTGATAATCGGTATAAATAAATGTATATATATACATTATCGTTTATTTGTATTATTTCTTGGAAATATCTTTCACAATTTTATACTGCTGCTATAATATTGCTAAAGTTCATTCAATTATTTATATATATGAATCGGTCATTTAAAAAACGACATAAGTCATTAAATTCAAATTTTTCAAGAACCAAAAAAAACTCAATTACTCTTCGACTTTTTTTCCACTTACACCTATTTACAAATTTATTTTTAAGGTTATTTTTTGGTACGTAATCATATTACCCATCAAGTTCTACATTTTTAGCTTCCATATTTTGTTCATCAGCAGTTGGTCATTTATATATTTCTTCATAAAATAACCTATGCTCCTCGATTATACTATCTTTAACTTGTCTTAAGTTTTCAATTTTATGGGGGTTTAGTGACACTTTATTATTATACACCTTGGCGGTTAGCAATAATATATTATTATTTGTTGTTAATTTTAATAGTTTAAATGTGTGCTTTGATAACCCATCGATAAAATTATGTCTAAATACAATACCTTTATATTGTGTATTATATTCGAAACTCATATATGTAGATGGGGTAAAAGATGTAAAAAATTATTAATATTTTTGAAGTTTTAATTTTCAAATGATTGGGGTGCATAAACAATTTTAAATAGCCCTCTACAAATTTAAAGTGCTGCACAGAGTTGTAATTNTAGCCCTCTACAAATTTAAAGTGCTGCACAGAGTTGTAATTAATATATGAAGAGAAAGTATGAGTAAAAACATAACCCCATCCTAACATTATTAAATTAAACCCCTTTAAAACAATTTTTATAGAACCGTTAAAGTAATGTCTAATTTGATTTAGGAAGAATTTGGCTTAGCCCTATTATGATTTGCGAAGATCATTAAAACGTTGAATTTTTTTTCCCATTGACGTCAGAGGATTCCAAAAATGTGTGCCAAGTGCCAAGTTTTCTTAAAACCCGCCGTCAAATTCATCCTGTATACAGGGCCGTTTTTGAGGAATGCTCTGAGAGACAATAAGCTCCCATACATTTATAGGAGCGAATTTTAATAATAAAGAGTAAAACATACAAAATTTGTATGCTAGGTTTAATATTTAAAATTGTCACCATACGATTGAGTAACAAAGTATATTGTAAGACGATTTTATGTTAGCTAGGATGTGCTACTATACCTGATTGATTTTGATAAATGCTGAATTTGTCATCTTACTCTGACTTACCCTACATAAAATTTAAATTTGAGTTTAACTCAATAAGTATTACACTTAACGTTAAATTATCTAGAACCTTAATTATAGCACAATAACTGTTACTATTTCTTCCAAATAACGGACTGTTATTGCTACTCAGGCCGTAACTGTTATAAATCACTATCACTGTTTTTTTACCCATCACTACCTTCAACCACTCTTAAAGCATATCTATTAATAAAGTCATAATTGATACAAAGTATAAAGGATAAATTTAAAAAGTATTACATAATTCAAGAATAATAAGTAACTATAGATATCAAAAAAAATGTATTTATTTAATTTATTTATTGAATTTAAGTTTCTTTTATTCTGTAGAGTGGGTTATATTATATATATAATAAATATGATAATAATAAAAAATATACGCAACGATTTTTTTTTGCTTATTTTTATACTATAATATAAATGTAATATAATTGATAATTTATAGATGCGTATGGGGTAGTGTTGTATAAGTTTTATATTTTATATAAAGTGTTAAATATTAAGCAATCTAATGTATAAAAACAAATTTTAATTAAAAATATGTAGTGTTTTAAAAATTTTATGGATATTTTAGGAATAAATTTACATCAAGTAGCACTTCATGCAATTGGTCATATTTTGGGTCTAGATCATTCTTTAGAAAATAATGCAGTTATGAGACCTTTTTATAAACCATACAGTCAAGGGTTCAAACTGCAAAAAGATGATATTCAGGGAGCTCAAGTATATTGTTAATTTATGATATGCTTTTAAAATTACTTCTACATTATAGGGATTATACTATAACGCTATACTTTCTGTTAGTTTAGCGGGCATTTTTAGCGTTTTGTTCATCAAATTTTATTTTTACAATGTCACGTCAGCATAAATGTTACCACTAACTCATAGATAGCGGGCACTTTATTTAACAAGGGATTAAGGTCTCCATTATGTGATTGAGTGCCTGAAATCAATAGAGAATCAGATTTAATATTGATCATTATCGTTTTATCATATTATCGAAATCCTAAATTTTGTGTCTGGACTAATTTTGAATTACGTTTTCGTAATATTCATAAAATCTAGCTATTTATCTTATAGCTCCCAGTTCTTTATCAAAATCTATTTTATTAATCGGAACATTAACTAATTTGTTAACAATACTATTAAAAGCTGCCATTTTATGTAGCCAGCTATCATTCGAATTGTTCAGAACGTGATAAATTTCAAAATTTGGTTCCCCTTGCTCATTTCACTATTAAATACAAAAAAGTCAATTTTTCCTCTAGTTCCTGTTCATATGTGGATTTAATCGATGAGTAAAAATAATTTAAACGTTGTATGAAATTATATACATTTTTTATTTTTAGTAACAAAAAAAATGAAAAATTTAGTTCTTTTAATTTTTAATTTATTCAAAATAGCCGTTTTTAGAATTATTTTTACAAAAATTTTGATTTATTATTATTAAACACTATAATAAATTACACATAATTTATATGCTATGTTCTATGATAAATTTTCACTAAAAGGTCTTCTTTATTCAAGAAATTAAGCTACCTTTTACTTTTACCTTTTTTTTCTTTTTAATTTTTACTCTCTTTTATGTTTATTCATTTTAAATATAAGGTAAAAAACATATTATATCTCAGTTAACAATCTGGGAATTATACATGATAACGATGGAAAATAATTTAAAACCTAGGAAATGATAATATTCAAATTCATTCAATTATAACAGCTGATCGCTTATGTGCCGATTAAAATGATCGTTATATTTTGAATAATTTAGATCACAGTTATCACTAACGGTGACATTGTAAAAACACATTATACTAAACTATCCCCTATTGATTACAATACACTAATATGTCCGCTAGCTTAACTAACAGCTAAGTAAATTTTAGCTTGATATTGTAAAAATAACCTTAAATATAATTAATAAAATTAATACGTAGGCGATGTATGGACCAAGAGTTCCATTAGATGAAGATTATGATAATACTGAAGAAAAATTTGGAAATAATGATATATATCTATGCTCGAATCCAAAAATTGATACTATTTTTAATTCGAATGCGGGTGAAACATTTTTATTTAAGGGTAACCAAGTAACTTAATGAGTATTTTATTTTTACTAAATAATTAAGTATTATTCTTAATTAGGTAATTATTACTGGAAGCTTAAAAAAAATGAACTTAGTTTTGGTTACCCAAAATACATTAATCAAACATGGAAAGGGCTACCAGCTCAAATAGATTCTGCATTCACTCATAAAAATAATGGTTATACATATTTTTTTCAAAATACAAAGTATTGGAAATATTTTGACACAAAAATGCTAGATGGATATCCGAAAGATATTTCAAAGGGATTTACGGGTATACCAAATAAAATTGATGCAGTATTACCATTTAATGAAGATAAAAATGTTATTTACTTTTTTAAAGGTACTTTTAAAAATATTGATTATATATAATATTATAAATTAGATAATTTTGTTTAGGAACACACTATTGGGTATATAATGACGCAGAAACTCCTCCTGTAGCCAATACGTATCCAAAACGGATATATGATTTGTTAGGTCTTACAGATAGCATAGATGATATATTGTATTATTCTGATGGTTACGTTTATGTTTTTAAAGACAATGATTTTTATAAATACAGTGATTTTTCATTTGGTGTAAGTATTTTAAAATTCAATAAATATTAAGTTAATAAATTTTGATGGAATCCTTTAAGCGTTTTAGATGTAATGTTTTAATATTTTGTTATATTTTAGTAATCAATGCACAGCTCAAAAGGTATTCAGATTCTTTTCCACAAACATTAATAATAATAATAATTTTTAGTTGATTACTAGTACACAATATTTATAGTAAATTATAAAATTATTTCAAAAATGAAATATATTACTTCATTTTGTTTTAGGTGTATAACTCTATTCCACCAGTTCCACAAAAAATTGCCAAAAACTGGTATGGATGTAATCTATAAGAAATAAAACAGTATACATAGCAAAACTTGTAAGTTTCAAGTAAACTTGAAACATTTTTCATAATATAACACAAAAAAAAAATTAATTATCATTAATTCAGTATGTTCTAAAGAATATGTCTTAATTTCAGTGTTTATAAGTCTAATATTTATTACAATATGACAAATTTTAACCATGACATTGAATTCAGCCTTAATAAAATATAACCATATTATGGCGAAAAAAAATTAACTATTTGTTAATATTTCTAAAGAGTTTTAAAAAGTGTTTATATTTTTTTGAAATGTCAAAATTTACCAGCATATAACTTTGAAAAACCAATAAATATTATAAATATTAACAATGAGATGTATTGGAAAATATTTATAATATTTTAAGGAAAAAAAATAACCCAGCAAAGGTGAGTCGCGGCACAGTAGTGATGTGACATAGTTGGATCAGGTACAATGATATCTGACAGTGATTAAAATCACTATCAAAAAAACGCTTCGATGCAAATCTTTAGATAGTGTTTAATTTTAAAAAATTGGTGTATTATTCCAGAAGCTACATGATCTGCTAGTTCCTTATTAATATCTTGATTAAGATAAAGTATGACGAATGAAAAAGTGATTATTAAAAAATATTATTTCTCATAAAAAAATTGTGTTGATCCATACACTTTTCAATAAGTTATAGCATTATAAAGTTAAAAATGTAAAATATAAAATCGNCATTATAAAGTTAAAAATGTAAAATATAAAATCGAGAAATTTCACACAAAAATAGTATTCGTAAGCCATTTTCACCACGAAGACAAGTCCAGAGGTCAAATTTTTTTTTTTAAATTAAAGTATATTACATAAGCTTTAATTTAAGATATATATAAAAGTGTCAGTCCTTCCGGAACATTTTCAAAAGTTAAGTTGAAAAAGTTAATTTTTTATGAAAAGTTGTCATTTTAAATCGCCCCTGTGGGCAGGTACAGGGTTAAATTTATAAAAAAAATATAGCAAATGATAGGTAAAGACATCAATCATCTATAAAAAAAAAATTANGATGATAGGTAAAGACATCAATCATCTATAATAAAAAAAATTATATTGATATGTTCACTTTTGAAAAAGTTACGACAGTTTTTAGTAAAAAAGTTGAAAAAATTTCGAAAATTAGCGATTTTTAAATTTGTAATTTTTTTGGAGGTTTCTTCCATTTACGGGTAACGAGGGAAATTTTTTCAATTTTGAAGGNAATTTTTATTTTAGATGAGAAGGGTGCGCAATGTTGAAGAATTCATATTTATGTGTCATATTAAAAATAGTATATCGCTAAACATTACACCGCCACTCTCTTTTTCNTTTAATTGTTAATTTTTATTTTAGATGAGAAGGGTGCGTAATGTTGAAGAATTCATATTTATGTGTCATATTAAAAATAGTATATCGCTAAACATTACACCGCCACTCTCTTTTTCTAAATCTTTAAATACTAGTATCTTAAAAATAAATATCATAAATGTAGTTATCGTGCAATTAAAATTTTATTTACATCCTTCTTCATTTATTAGTAAAAAAATAATAACTGGTTTATATTTCACTTTCAATCATAAACCCTAAAAATAAACTATTCAATTGTATATTTCGAGATTAATAAAAGTTATTTCGATTAGGTTCTTTCAAAATTAAACTGACAACTTATAGTATACTAGAAAAATCATTTTTTTTATTGAATCAAAGTACACAACTGTTAATAATAAATATTTTTTGTCGGTATATACAATCTTATATATAATATTTAAACATTGAATATATGTGCTGGTAGTATAGTTAGTAGTAAGACACGAGTATTTGAATGAAGATTAGCTCTAAATAATACAATTCTTGACTAACAATATTTAAACATTTTGTAAGTTTACTCTCAACAATAAAACCAGTCCTTATTTATGCTTCTAGTAGATGAAATATTAGAGTTTTCGACCTGTTAAATAAAAAATTAAAAAATACAAACAAACCAATATGCATTTGCTTACACAATAAAAATAATTTCAGATATGTATATATATCGATTTTTTTTATTTATTTAGTTAAATATATTTTTAAATTTAAGTATTATTAAAGTTCATCCCTTTATATTATAAGGGTATAACTTTATTTTTTTTTATGGTAATATAAATATTTAACTAGTATATAAAATATAAAATGTTTTAATTAAGAAAATAATTGGCCAAAAACAACTTTTGGACCAGTACTTAGGAAGTTATTCACATTTTTATTTACAAGTGGGAGAAGTATTGTCGTGAAAAAAATGACAAAATTTACCAATTTTAAAAATTTTACCAAATAATAGGTAAAGACATCAAGCATCTATAAAAAAAAAAATTATATTGATATGTTAATTTTTAATTAAGTTATGGCAGTTTTAGTAAAAAAAATTGAAAAAATTTCGAAAATTAGCGATTTTTAAATTTGTAATTTTTTTGGAGATTTCCTCCATTTGCGGGGAACGAGGGGAAATTGTTTAATTTTTAAGAGTAATATCTTCAACTAGATACGATTTGTGATCTTTTGACGTATCGTTGAAAGAAATCGGTTCAGTGAGAGCTGAAAAAAAGTGGCAACAGACATAAAAAAAGAAAAAACACATCATAGTAAAATTAACACCTTTTCAGCATCGCATCGAAGCTAAAAATTCAAAATAACTAACATTACCATAATAACTTTAATATCAATGTTTATATAGTTGATTATTTACCAAAAATGTTGAAGTTTTAAATGTGTAATATGAATCATCTTTTACGAATGTAATATTACTATTGTTAAAACTAAAAACAGCATCTATATTTGATGGCACACCATTCCAGTCCCTCAGAGATCTAGGATATTCACTCGATACGGGAGGTTTTTTAGTTGGGTCGTATACCCAATATTTTTCACCTGGCACAAATTATAAAATATAATTTTGAAATATTAAAAATTGAGAGTCTCAGTACCTTTAAAAAAATAAATCTTATCGTTCAAATTCATTGCACTGTCAATATTATTAGGTATACCAGCAAAACCAAAAGCAATTTCTCTTGGAAAGTCTTTATCTAAAGAAGTTTCAGTAAATCTCCAATATTTAGAGCCTTTGAAAAAATAAGTTTTTTGGTTATTATAAGTGAATACTGCGTCAATATTGTTTGGTAGACCTATCCATACATCGTTAATTAGTGTAAATATCTATCTTCAAAATCTCGTTTGGTGGTCAACTTCCAAAAATATTTCCTATCGATAAAAAATATATAAAATATCAAAACATATCATGGTAAAATTAATACTTTTTCAGCTACGCATCGAAGCTAAAATAGAATATTGTCTAGAAAATATTCATTATTAGAATATTAAATTAAGGTCTACTTCAATATTATAATTTTCGATATAATATCACTTTTTAAATTATACATTTTTATGTCATAATTAAGTAAGTATATATTTTTAATTAAATTAAAAATTCGGCTGCTATGGTCATTAGAATAGTACATATTTATTGTTACAAACATTTTAATAAATATAACATTTAATAAATTTGTTTTAGTATTAGCCACTCAATTTCTCTAAAAATAATAATTAAATTTAATAAATTTTTGTTAAAATTTTAGGTGTCAATAATTTTTTTGATTTCTTAATTATTAAGTAATTTATTTAAGTCATTCCTTATGCCTTAATAGGGAGTCAATTCAATTTTTAGCTTTGATGCGAAGCTGAGAAGGTATTGGTTTTACTAAGATGTGTTTATTTTATTATTTTTTTTTTTTGTGTCTGTTACCACTTTTTCTCAGCTCTCACCGAACCGATTTCTTTCAACGATACGTCAAAAGATCACAAATCGTATCTAGTAGAAGACATTACCCTTAAAAATTGAAAAATTTCCCTCGTTCCCCGTAAATGGGGGAAACCTCCAAAAAAATTACAAATTTAAAAATCGCTAATTTTTGAAATTTTATTAACTTTTTTTAATAAAAACTGTCGTAACTTTTTCAAAAGTGAACATATCAATATAATTTTTTTTTTTATAGATGCTTGATGTCTTTACCTATCATTTGGTATATTTTTTTTGTAAATTTGACTCTTTATCTGCCCACAGGGGGGGATTTAAAATGACACTTTTTCACAAAAAATTAACTTTTGAAAATGTTCCGGAAGGTCTGACACTTTTATATATATCTTAAATTAAAGCTTATGTAATATACTTTAAATTAAAAAAAAAAATTTGAACTCTGGACTTGTCTTTGTGGTGAAAATGGCTAACGAATACTATTTTCCTGTGAAATTTCTCAATTTTATTTTTTATATTTTTAACTTTATAATGCTATAACTTATTGAAAAGTGTATGGATCAACACAATTTTTTTATGAGAAATAATATTTTTTAATAATCACTTTTTCATTCGACATACTTTATCTTAATCAGGATATTAATAAGGAACTAGCAGATTATGAAGCTTTTGGAATAATCCACCAATTTTTTAAAATTAAACACTATCTAAAGATTTGCATC